TGCCTGTGTTTTCTTTGAGGAGTTTTATGGTTTCAGGTCTTACATTCAAGTCTTTAATCCACCTTGAGATAATTTTTGTGTATGGTGTAAGATAGTCCAGTTTCACTCTTTTGCATGCAGCTGTCCATTTTTCCCAACACTGTTTGTTGAGCAGACTATCATTTCCCCATTGTGTATTCCTTACTCTTTTGTCTTAATAATCTATCCATGACCTAAGTGGGGTATTAAAGTCTCCTACTGTTATCATATTGTTGTCAGTTTCTTCCTTTAGGTCTGTTAACATTTGCTTTGTATATTTAGGTGCTCCCACGTTGGGTACATAAGTATTTATAAATGTTATATCTTCTTGTTGGATTGGCCCCTTTATCATTATGCAAAGACCTTCTTTGTCTTTTATTACAGTCTTTGTTTTAAAGTTTATTTTGTCTGTTATAAATGTATCTATCCCAGATTTCTTTTGGTTTCTGTTTGTGTGGAATATCTTTTTCCATCCCTTCACTTTCCATATGTATTGTGCCGTTACATGTGGAATTAGTCTCTTAGAGGCAGCATATAGCTGGGCCTTGTGTTTTGTTTTGTTTTGTTTTTTTAAATCCATTCAGCCACTCTGTGTCTTTTGATTAGAGAATTTATTCCATTTACTTTTAAAGTAATTATTGACAGGTATATACTTATTGCCTGGTTTTCTGGTTGTTTTGCAGTTCCTCTCTGTTCTTTTTTTCTTCTCTTGCTCTCTCCCCTTTGGTTGTATAATATCCTTTAGTATTATGCTTAGACTTTTTTTTTTTATTATCCTTTGTATATCTACTATATGTTTTTGCTTTATGGTTACTTTGAGGCTCTTACATAACAGTTTACATATATAACAGTCTTTTATTTTATTTTAATTTTTTAAAAAGTTATTTATTTATTTTTTTCAGGGGGTAGGTAATTAGGTTTATGTATTTATTTATTTGGTTTTTCAAATGGAGGTATTGGGAATGGAACCCAGGACCTCGTGCATGCTAAGCATGTGCTCTACCACTTTGAGCTATACCCTCCCCCACAACAGTCTATTTTGAGTTAATAGCAACTTAAGTTTGAATGCATTTGAAAACTGCATTTTTAGTCCGCACATTTTGTTTTTAATGTCAGATTTTATATCTTTTTATTTTGTGTCTCCCTTAACTGATTATGGTAGTTGTAGTTATTTTCACTACTTCTGTCTTTTAATTTTCATACTGGCTTTATAAGTAATTAACCCACAACCTTTACTGTATTTACTTTTACCAGCGAGATTTATGCTTTCAAATGTTTTCTTGTTACTAATCAACACCCTTTCTTTTCAGCTTAAAGAAGCCCTTTTAACGTTTCTTATAAGGCTAGGTTAGTGGTGATGGATTCCTTTAGCTTTTTCTTGTATGGAAAACTCTATCTGTCTCCTTCAATTCTAAATGATAACCTTGCTGGGTAGAGTATTCTTGATTAGAGGTTTTTTTCCCTTTCATCGCTTTGAATATATTAAGCCACTCACTTCTGCCCTGCCAATTTTCTGCTGAAAAATCTGCTCATAGCCTTATGGGGATTTCTTCATATATGACAAGTTGTTTTTCTCTTGCAGCTTTTAAAATTCTTTCTTTAACTTTTGACATTTTAATTTTAATGTTTTTTGTTGTGAATTTTTTTGTCCTTTTTGTGAATTTTGTTGTGGATTCATCTTCTTTGGAACTCTCTGGACTTCCTGGATCTAGATGGCTTTTCTCCTTCTGGTTAGGGAAGTTTTCAGCCATTTTTTCTTTAAATAAATTTTCTATCCCTTTCTTCGTCTCTTCTCCTTCTGGCACCCCTATAATGTGAATGTTATTCTACTTGATGTTATCCCGTAGGTCCCTTAAGCTATTTCACTTTTTAAAAATAATTTTTTTCTGAGTGAGTTCCACTGCCCTGTATTCTAGTCATTGATCCTTTCTTCTGCTTCATCTAGTCTGCTGTGAACCCATCTAGTGTAGTTTTCAGTTTTATTGTATTGTTCAGCTCTGTGACATCTATTTCATACTTTCTTATATTTTCTGTCTTTGTTGAAATTTTCATTGTATTCATCCATTCGTCTCTGTTGGAGAATGGAGGGAATGAAGAGTGCCCACTGAACTGAGAAGACATCTTGAGGCTGAAAAACAAGCCAGGCAGCTCTGTATCATCAGTGGATCAGTTTATTATTGGGTGACTTACTCACAGGGTAAGGTCTGGATCAGATGGACAAGGATCTGGAAGCATTCGCAGCTGCACTCTGCACTACCAAGGGGCCATTGGGACAATTTGTAGTTAACCTAGGGTATGGCTGTAGGTGCTTGGTAACAGGATGTGCATTCCTAAGTTAAGATTTATGATTGGGTCACTAGTCTTGTGGGCACCAGGAATACATCAGGGATGGTTTTCATCATTGTCTGGGGATTAACAGCATAGAGGCTACCTGGTCCTAGTGATTATTAAACAATTTGTCCTAACTACGAGGCCCTTGAACACAGAGAAGTGATTCATTTACACAGTACAGTCTTGGGTAAGGTCAGTGAAAGGACAGGAGAAACTGTAAGGGTCCAAGATGGCATCATTTATGCTAACAGCCATACAATCTCCCAAGTTCAGTGAGCATCTTTATGATCATCACTTTTAACTCTTTATCAGGTAAATTACTTATCTCCATTTTATTAAGATGTTTTTCTGAGGTTTTATCTTGTTCTTTTATTTGGAACATACTTCCATTTCCTCATTTTGCATTACTCTGTGGGTTTTTGTTTTTTTTTTAAATAGGTGAAACATATACCTTTCTCAGACTTGAAGGCATGGTCTTGTGTTGGTTATGAATCTTATGTTTCAACCTTTTTCTAGCTCTTGGTTGTCTCTCAAACCTTTATTATTTTCTAAACAGCCTGGTTTATTTTTCATAAGTTCGAGTTGTTGAGGTGTGCCAAGAAACTCAGTGTTTCATACGGAGGGATCTCAGTTAGCCCCTAGTTTCAGGCTGATTGGAACCAGACACTCAGGCATTCACTTTTAAAGTTTGCAAATATATGCTGTCCTATAGGACCATCACTGTAAACCCTGCTTGCCTGCAGATGAGATGAAGTGTCCCTCTGGACAACAGCTACAAAAATTGGAGCTTCAAATGAGTGTATAAGCTCCCTTCTGGGAGATTCCCATGAGCTGTAGAGAGGCTGAGGGAAAGCTCAAATATGGAGTCCCCTACCCTAGGTTCCCTGAAAGCACCTCCGTAGCTTCTAGATGTGTGGCAAACCTAAAGTCTGTCCCTCTGGCTGAAATTTAAGAACAAGTAAATAGGCGTTTTCCATAGAAAGAATGGAAGTGTGCTTCAGTCTGTTGTCTGTGTGGGTGGTAGACTGCTAAGAGCTGTCTCTCCAATTGTAACAGTCCGGTAGTTCCCAGGGACACAAGCCTCCTATCAGTGGGAGCATGCAGGCCTGGGGCACACCCCTCATCTTTAGTGGGGCAGCAGGAGTCCCCAGAGGCCTCTCCCCTTCTAAGTTGATGCCTTATGATTGGCAAATGAATCTCTTTCACATAGGCATTTTTCAAACTGCTGCTTTTGCACTAGTCCCTAGGTGCACACGAGCCCTTTAAGAGAGGTATCCCAGTTCCACACAGCCCTTTCGGTCCCCTGGGCATGAGCCTCATGGGATTTTCCAAGCCAGACACACTGGGGGCTCATCTCTTCACTGTATGTCCCAAGGGTTGGCGGGGACTGTTACGGGGCACAAACCCCCACTCCTCAGGGAGAAGTTCTAGATTTTTGAGATCCCTCCTGATTTGTGGGTCACAGCACTGAGGGTAGGGTTTTTGTCTCAGCCTCTCCTGCCTGTATCAGTGTGGCCCTTTTATTATTTATTGTGAAGGAGCTGTTCAGTTAGTTTTCAGGCCTTTTACAGGGGGCAATTGTTCCATATATAGCTGTAGATTTGATGTGGCTGTAGAAAGAGGTGAGTTCAGGATCTTTCTACATTGTCATCCTGGACCACCTGTGTGTTTCCAATGTGTAACCATCAAGAAATTACATGTAAAATCCAGATCTCCAGCTTCTTTTGAAAATTTAGAGGCTTTGGCAACACTGGTTTTTTTTTTTTTTTTCCATTTCGAATATGGCCCTCCTTTTAACATGAACTTGGCATGAACTCTCAGGTCAGCCAAAAGCTCTGCTAAGGACACTTCTAGCCCCACAGGCATCTGTGATTTTTAGGTCACTCATTCACTCATACAAATATATATTTTGCATCCAGTGTGCCTGGCACTGTTTCTGAACCGTTTACATGGGTTCTCTTGCTTCTCACAACACTGTTGCTTTCATTTTATAGATGTAGAAATGGAGGTTCAGAAAGTCAAAACAGGGGTTACACAACTGGCAGAGGCAGACCTAGATTAGACCCATGTGATGGCTCAGGCTCTGTGGTCACCAGGTCCACCTTCATCACCTAATTTAAAAGGCCCATCCTTTCCTCCTTTATGCCAATTCAACATGAGATTTTTGCATACAGCACAAATTAAAAAAATGACAAACCTAAAAATTGTAATGGCATGGCAGTTTGCATACATTTCTGTTTGTCACCATGTTCCCAATGACAGCAGTATTTCATGCATTTTGTTTTATAACAAGTGAATTACTGTATCAGTTCACAAATGCATTCATTGGCATTTTTATATGAGCATGATACCCAATATTTTTCTAGATTCCACCTAACCTGCAGATTTGGTCATTTTATAAAACTATTAATATCATTTAAATAGAATCAAGGAATAATAGAATTAATTTATAAATTCCTGTGAAGCAGAAAGTATTAACCTCAAAGTTAATACTTTCCTGAAATGACTGAAGTGTGTCCTTTAGAAAAATATCCAGTGCCTATTTTAAAAATGTGCATTTAAAATCACATACAGAAAGTTTAAAACAAATGTAGAGACACAGAATGGCTTCTGAACTCACAGTTATTCAATGACAGTTACCTGTCTTGCAGGGTTGGATCATCTAGTTTCTGATTCAGCTTGATCATTTGTGAAACGACTACTGAGCAGAAATATGAAGGATAGAAGTGGAATCCAGCAGCTAACAACCACAAGGTACATACAATCTAAGACTAAAACTGTGGGGCAGGGCAAGTGAGTTTCCTGGTGCAGCCTGGATTGCAAAAAGATTGAAATTGTCTCAATTCCTTATTTATGAAATAGAGTATAATCACTGTGTTGCAAAGTATGCCTGACAAATAGTATCTGGTGAATAAATCTTTATTCTCATTCTCAACAGTTTAATATAAGAAGTTTTTTTTAATGCTTTTTTAGAAATGTCATATGATATAGAAAGTTTTATGAACAATATCAATTAGGTTTAATCTGTGCTATCTGGGAACACTAATAGTATTTATGTGCATGTATATAACATGTCAAACTACATAAAGTAGATTTTTAAAAGAGGTATAATTGTCAATGTTTTTTAAAAAGAATACTTTTTAAAAAAAGCTTTTCTTGTCAAAAAGCCCTTTTTTGTTTGTTTTAAATTACATACTCTTATTTTTTAAATTTCTATTTCTATATTTTTTTTTTTTTAGGGTTAGGTAATTAGGTTTACTTATTTATTTCTAGAGGAGGTACTGGGGATTGAACCCAGGACCTTGTGTATGCTAAGCATGTGCTCTTCCACTTGAACTATACCTTTCGCTGAGAAATCCCTGAATCTTCTGCTCATTTTTGCTGTGAACCTAAAACTGCTCTAAAATTTTTTAAAAAATATATTTATACATATATGCGTTTAGGCAAGGGCAGTCTAGCAGGGGTTGGGGCCCATGCAGAGAAGACAGTTGAGTGAGATGGCAGCCTGATGAGTGTCAGGAGATGGTTATATGGGTGGGTGGAGATCTTGAGTAAATAAGTCAATATATTGAGGCAAATGGGAGCCAGGTTTCCTACTGTCCAGAAAAGGAGTTACAAATATGAACAGAGGGAAAGCTTGAATGAACCTGGGTGGTGGTAGACTGAAATTGGAAGATTGTTATGAACTCATGGTTTGTGTGTGTTATGTATAAGTATGTATGTGTATTTTGCATATGTGTAGAAAAACCCTGTAAACACACACACACACACACACACACACACACACACACACACACACACACACACATATTCTAGCTTTGTTTACCAAGAGGGCCTGGGAGCAGTGACACTCAGGAGCACTGAGCATATCTAGCACCCAGTTTTTTAATACGTCAAAGAAGTCAGGGCTCTTTGGAAAAATGGCTGATCCCAGGGATGAAGCAAACACACAAGATGGGTCTGAAAGTATGGAAGTATTCAGAGAATAATGGTGGCTTGTCAGTCAATAGAGAAGCTAGCTCCCAATGGCTAAATCTGACAATTTGAGCAAATATGTGATGACAGTAATGGATTTTATCTCACTGAATAGGAATCCACTTTGAATAATAAATAATAAATGAAAGAAGAGAAAGCTCTTCCTTACAGCAAAATGCCCATTAATAAAATATAGAAGGAATGTAGGAACTGGAAAACCACTATTTGGCAACCATCAGCAAGAAAACTAAGAGCACAGAGCTAAAGTTGGTTGAATAACAAGGTACTTATGTAATCTCAAAGTATCACCTCCATAAAGTACTTACTATAAAGGTAGATGTTAATTATAAAGGGAAAGAGTAACTTTATAGCAGCAAAGCCTACTCAGATGATCACAGTTGAGTATCACCAGCAATGGAACAAACTGACCTTGTATGCCTCCTGATGTGAGTCACCGAAAAACACTGCATCATTTCTGAGATACTCCTGCCACAAATGCATCCTCTGAATTGAATCCTGAGGAAGCACCAAACTCAAAATGTAGGACTTCTATAAAACAATAAACTGTAATCTTAAAAAATACTAAGATTGTGAAGGTCAAGGAAGAACTAAGAAATGGTTCTGGATTGAATGGGAAGAAGAAACACATTAACTAAGAGCAACACCTCATCTTGGTTTAGATTCTTTTGCTATAAAGGACATAACTGGGCTGCTGGCAAAACCTGAGTGGGGCTTTTGGGTGAATGGTATATGGGAGTTCTTTGTGGTGTTCATACTTTTTTGTAAGTATGAAATTATTTAAAAATAAATAAAAGTAACAACATTTGTTCAAAAACTTTTATTTACTATAAAGACAAAACACCAAAATAGGTACAAATACTATAAAATTGGTTCAATGGGGTAAAAATTTTAATTAAAATATCTCGATATATTTAAAATAACAAAGGATACATTTAAGCCAAATTTTCTTAACCCAGAGATTTTTTTGTAACATTTGCTTACACAGTAAGGTGCTAATAGAAGTTAGCCCTTAAGCCCTGGAAGTCTTAGGAATCATAGTCACACAGCAAATATAATTTCATTGTGAAAGTGAACTTTGGTAGAAGAAAAATCTATAGGACACCTGAGGTAGTAGAAACTGGAATAAACAGCAGTAGATGTTATTTACAACTTGAGTACCAAATAACATTAAGAACACAAAACAATTACACAATTTTCAGTCCAGCTTTGATCCAAAGAAAATAAGAATATTACATCACATTTGCATTGAAAACAAAACAGAACAAAACAAAACAAAAAACAAACACCACAATTACCAGCAAGCTGAGGGAACTGCAAACAAACTCAAACAATGGATTTTGACATCTAGAGGCAGTTTGAGTTTGAAATGTGGTGGGCATGGTGATCTACAAAGTAATACTGATTAGCTGAGGTTCCTCAGTTTATACAGTTTACATTTCTGTCAGACACAGTATTAATCTGACTAATGATCTTCCAGTACATGAAATGGCAAGAGTGCATCCTTTAAAGCTTGCACATAAGAGACTTGGAAACAATCTTATTAGAATTGTGAAAAATTCTAAGTAGACAAAAAAAAAAAAAAAGAAAAAAAGAAAAACAAAAAACCAAAAACCAAAAAAACAACACATTAAGAGCTACCAAACTTCACATTTCAGTTCTATTTTTAACTCTTCAAATATTGCCAATCTTCCAACCAAAGGAATGTAAAATTTCACTAAGAAACACATTCATATAAAAAAAAACTGCCTTTTAAAAATTATATGCAATATAGCCCTGTAAACTTATCTTGTAACTTATTTTACTTCCAATTTGTGTTGTACATTTAAAATGTACTCTATATAGCTTATTTAGTTTATCCTGAGTCTTTGAGAATAACCAATTCTATTTAACTCTGCAACAATTCAACTGGCTTCTGAAGAGTTAAAACTTATCTCAAAAAAGTTGTATTAAATACTTAATCAGTACTTGATTTAAAAGACTTACAAAGAAAAAAAAAAGGATAAAAAAGCTGCCATTTTCCATCAGGATTCCATGCATCTGAATTCAGCTCAGACAAAAACCATTATCTGATTCTGCAAAATCCAAGGAATTTGTGTGTAAATGAAATTCAATTTCACTTTTCTTTCTGAACACATTCTCCAAGTTCAAAGGAAATTTACTGTTTAAAAACACTATTACTCATTAGTTGAGTAATTAAGTCAGTTTTTCTTTTATCAACCAGGCCTACTGTAAAGAGCTGATGCACGGTAGAAGGAAAATAGCAGTTAACATGTTGTGATCAGTGGTGATGATGAATGATGGATTGTTACATACAGAGTAAGACTTAAATGATGAGGTTTCCTACAAAAGGAATCGATACATTAAAAAAAAGTCAAATAAGTTTCAAGGTAATCTTGATCTTGGTTGTGAGCTGCATCACAGAGAATAGTTGGTTTTCACTTAATTTAATCTGCACAAGAAGAGCAGTGACTGACTCAATGAAGGTAGTATTTTATTATATTCCAATTTTAAAAACAAATAAAATCTGTTTTAAAAAACTCTTGCAATAGCAAGATATTTAATAAACTCTAGTTCACACCTAGTTCCTTTTTTTTTTCTGGTTTGAAAAGATCACCTTTCCCTGAATATTAAACAAAAATGAAGGTGAAATGAAAATACAAAACCATAATTTCCAAAAACGAAATGAATGGGCCAACAGTAAAATGCACAATGAACCACAATTGCCCAGGCATTAAAAATATAAAGGTCAATTGTGGGTCAGAAAGAAGTTACCAACTTTAAAAAATATATTTATTTACTGCTACTCATAGCATATTCTGACCTAAAAGAGGCAGATACTGATTTTTATAGCCAGTGACAAAAAACAACAACAACAACAACAACAAAAACTGAACGGAATTGCAGAACCCCCTGCTTGTGATCACAATGTGAAATGGAAGAATAATAGAAACATTAAAATAGATCCTGAGCCCCTCAGCTGCTAATATTGCTGAAAAAGTGCTCCAAAAAAAAAATTATGCTTCTGTTAATTCATCATGCAAACTTCATTGCTTTCCTGTTCACCTAGGGCCAGTTCTCTGAAAGGCACGGTTTACAGTTTCTGCACAAATTGTGGACTTTTGCATACTAAGCTTAGGTACAGGTCATGATTTGTCAATCACATACTTAGGTAAAGGTTCCCCACTGGTCTTGTTCATAGCATGAAGGACAGCAGATTATCAGCGTGGTTCCCCACAAGTTTTTTTCTCTTGTTGAGCATCCTGTCTCCATTATAGTTTATTTGTATAATTGGCTACCATGTAGTACGGAAGACTGGATGCTTCAGTAGCTCTCTTGACGGAGGTCTGTCCTGAGGTTGAAGTTCTAAACAACGAAGAGCCACATCTCGTAAACCAGGAGACAAATGTGGAGGGATTGATGGAGCAGTAGTTGCACTAGCAATCTATAAGGGAAAACACTGGTGTTAAAGCTCTCCACAACTGGAACTTTTGATATAGAAGTACATGTGCATACATCTCCTAGCTTCTATATGTGCATCCTATATACAGAGGACTAAAACACAAGTGGGTGGACTTTCTGCTAACAAGGAGTCTATGGAAAAACATACCCACTGGATGGGAGGTTTTCTCTAAGAATCTTTCAAATTTTAGGATTTTAAATTTCTTCAAATACATCCTGATCAGAGGGAGCTACAGTTCTCTTTATTGTCTCAAATGAACAAGGCTAAGTATGCTGAAATCATTAGACAGGTTAAATATTCACTCAAATCAATTCTGCTTTCCTCATATTCACTCTCCCAAGGTTTGTCCTTTTTGGTTCATTGCATTTTGTTTTTTTTTCAGCACAGACAGCTATTCAGAGTAAGAAAGACTAAACCTGCCAGTCAATTAGGTACATCAGTAACACAAGTGCACTTAATTTTTTCAGAGGATTGAGGAAGTTATATA